AAAATGTCCAAAGGAGGGCCACCAGAATGGTGCCTGCACTATGGGACCTCAGTTATCCAGAAAGATTAGAACACCTACAACTGCCTAGCTTATGCTACAGATGGGCAAGGGGAGACCCAATTGCAGTGTGTAAAGATCTCGGAGGGCACTACTCAGTCGAGTGTCCATATCTGGAGCTGGTGGATGCTTGCCCCAGAATGGGTCACAGCTCAAGGTTGTAGAAGCCATAAATACAGAAAACTGTGAGGGCAAACTTTTTCAGAGTGAGAATTGTTAACTCTTAGAACATTCTGCCAGTGTATGTTGTGACGACACTGAGCAAGAGCTTGTAGGGGTATCGAGATATTAATGTTGTCTAGCACTCAGGATGGAAGGAAACTCTAATGTGGTTTTCTTGTATAATATATATATATAAGTTATATGATAGACAGTCTGGTGCTGGAGATGCCGTGTGGTCGGGAGCAGCTCAGTAGAAGACGTTCGGGAGTATCGTGTTGAAGGAGGTAGATGTGCAGGAGCTTCGTTAGAGAAGGTGTTGCCTGTTGCTGGCCTCCTGGTTGAATGAATTGTTAACAGCGTGGAGCTTGCTGGAGGAGATGTTGCTTGTTCAAGAAATATGGTCAGAATGAATCTCAAGGGAGACAGAGCTTATATACCCCGCAGCAGCCGCTATGAGTCATGGTGGGAAAACCCGAGAAGTAGCCGGTGAATAGTTTCGTTGCTAAGATACGGTAACATCTGGGGACAGCTCTCGCCTGGTTGCTAGGGCAGGCGGCACATTGGAATGCGGATACGCTTGGTGGTGGGCTGTTACGCAGTTGTAGTGGAAAATTCCACTACAAGCTCTTTCAAGACCAGACTTGACCAACACTGGAGCAGGTTCAGATACATTCAGGAGCCAGTGCATGCCTAGTACTTGTCAACAGTGAGTAACAGAGACGACGTGACCGACCGCCCAAGTGGCTAACGAGCTAACCAGTGGTGAAGAGGAATAAAGTAAAAAAGTAAAAGTTTACTTCTGACGTTTTGTCACTAAGGACTTTATCAAAAGAATGAGCACAAGTCCTTCAAGATGAAACATCCGGAGTAACTGTCTCTCTCTGATCCTGTGTTTCCTTTGGTAGCATACTACCATTTTATCTTTATTTACTTGGAAAATGACATTGGAAAGGTAATTTTAATAAATGGGCAATTCTCACCTAATGTGATACCTCTTTAGACTTAGGTATTAAGCAGACTGCATTGGTTTTACACCAAGATACTGGGCCAGCTGCCACTGCAAAGAAAAGATAGGGCTATATGTTATATCAACCCACAGTCCCCAAGTGGAATATATTCAAGAGATTAAACTCTCTTCAATTAAAAAAAAATCAGTTAACTTTAATGACTTGCCTAGTGAATGGTTGTGCTATTAATTACTTTACAATAAGAGGTTAGATTTTTAAAATTACAGTATAGTATTAAAAGTGACACTCAGTTCTTTCTTCTTGCATGCTTGAAAGTGCTCTAAATTACCACAATTCCTAGGAATTAAAGTACATGATTAATTGTGGACAAGATTGGGATATATTGAATTTTGAATGAAACAATTTAATTACTCTATCAGTTTATTTAAAGTGGAAAATTTTACCCCTTAAAAACTGGTGATTATATATATATATATATATATATATATATATATATATATATATATATATATATATATATATATATATATATATATATATATATATATATATATATATTTATATATACATGGTTGATGTGATAGAGTTATACCTCCATCTTCCTTCACCTTCTGCATTCTGACGTTGTACACGAACATTATAATTCGGTCAAACCTGTTGAATACAATTCATTTAGTATTTCAAATAAGTCATACACAGGCACTCCTACATAAATGTTTAATCCAATATATATTTACATAACAATCATGGCTATGTAATTAGTCTAATCTTAACACTTATAATGAGTACTCAATTTGCCATATTTCTATATTGTCACACTGAAAATGATGCAATGGACACAGTCTACCTGTGTACACAATAAGTACTAGTTAAACTTACGTGTTGAAAGTCTAGAGAGAAACCTGGTTAGGTGTTGCCTCTAAGATATGGGTAGCTATACTGAAATGCCCACCGGATAGCCTTGGCCCCCTGGTTGGTCGCGTATGGCTGAGTCAGGTGATTATAATTATACATAAACAAACTCCCTTCACACACTCGAACCTCCTCCTGGGCCTCTCATCTCCACCATCTTCGTACTCTACACACTGTATACGGGCAGGCACACCCAATAAACATGACATGACTTACCGCCTAACATAATGTTTGTTTATGTGTCATCCTACTCATTGCTGCTTGCGGGAACACACGGTGATGATTATAACAACCACGACCATGATTATAACAACCACGACCATGATTATAACAACCACGACCATGATTATAACAACCACGACCATGATTATAACAACCACGACCATGATCATAACCGCAACAATGATTATAACAACCACGACTATGATTATAACAACCACGACCATGATTATAACAACCACGCCCATGATTATAACAACCACGACCATGATTATAACAACCACGACCATGATCATAACCACAACAATGATTATAACAACCACGACTATGATTATAACAACCACGACGATGATTTTAACACCCACGAACATGATTATAACAACTACGACCATGATTATAACAACCACGACTATGATTGTAACAACCACGACCATGATTATAACAACCACGACCATCATTATAACAACCACGACCACGATTATAACAACCACGACGATGATTATAACGACCATGATTATAACAACTACGACCATGATCATAACACGACCATGATTATAACAGCGACCACAATTATAACAACCGACGATGATTATAAACCGACCATGATTATAGCAACTACGACTATGATCATAAACCACGGGCATGATCATAACCACGACCATGATTATAACAACCACGACCATGATTATAACAACCACGACCATGATTATAACAACCATGACTATAATTATAACAACCACGACTATGATTATAACAACCACGACTATAATTATAACAATCACGACCATGATTATAACAACCATGACTATGATTATAACAACCACGACCATGATTATAACACCTACGACCATGATTATAACACCTACGACCATGATTATAACAACCACGACTATGATTATAACACCTACGACCATGATTATAACACCTACGACCATGATTATAACAACCACGACCATGATTATAACACCTACGACCATGATTATAACACCTACGACCATGATTATAACAACCACGACTATGATTATAACACACGACCATGATTATAACAACCACGACTATGATTATAACAACCACGACCATGATTATCTCATATACTATAGGAATAGCCGTGTGTCTGTGTGTGTGTCTCTCTTCTGGGCAGCCGAAACGGCACAATCGTTTTTCATCAACCTTGGTGGAAAAATCGTAAAAAAATTCGTAGAGTGGAACAAACCTGGTCCCATGTCGAAGGTTTTTTTAGGAAGGCCTTAATTTACCATTTTATTTACGCTAGAAAACGATGTCGCTGTACGCTGCCAGCCTTCCAGCGGTTGTGCCCTAGCCAAGCACGAGCGTTCGAACTTTCACGCTTTGGTAAGCTGTACCACCTGACTCGCCACCGGGCACGAAGTGCCCATGATCACTTGTCTAATATACTATAGGACTAGGCGTGTGTGTGTGTGTGCGTGCCTGTTCTGGGCAGCCGAAAAAGCACAATCGATTTTCTTCAAACTTAAAAAATCGCAAAAAATTCGTAGAGTGGAACAAACCTGGTCCCATGTCGATGGTTTCTTTAGGAAGGCATTAGTTAACAATTTTATTTACGATGGAAAACGATGCAAGTCTACGGACTAGGCACGCCCTAATTAACCATGCAAGTCTACGGACTTGGCACACTCTCATTCGCTGTAAGCTGTCACGTGCCCGCAATCACTTGTGTATACTTTGACCCAGTTGTACTTATGTCGGATTCTTAAAATAATTGACCTTATGGGACCTCGTTCGTATTGGAGGGTGTTTGTAAGTCGAATGTTCGTAAGTTGGGGACCCCCCCTGTATACTACAAAGTCTTTGTGTTCCTGTATTTCTTCCACAGGTAGTATTTTCTTTTGATGGCTTTCCTTGGTTTAAAATTCACCCACTCTTATTTACTTCTACTGTCATCTCAAGGATTTAATAAATTTTTGCCATGATTATTCTATGTTTGATTCATCTTTCATGGGCTGGTAATCCCTATTGGTTGAAGTTATTGTATTCCTGCTCAATTATTATATCCTGACCTTCAGATTGTATTCCACCTTACAATAGTATGTAGTGATCGTTTGCTGGATTTAATTTCTTTCTGGCGTGTTTCTCATCCACTATTGGCTCCTCATTTGTCGAGACCAAATCCAGAACGTTGTCTCCACTTGTGGGTTCCGTCATGTGTTATGTGAAGAATGAGTCTTGAATGAGGTCAAGAAATTCTTCCCCAGCTTCTGTGGTAAGAATCACCCAGTCTATTGTTTCGTGATTAAAATCTCCTATGATGAGTGCTTGTCCTCTGGATGCTATCTGGATGACTCTATGAAGACCTAACCCTTCCCCTCCAGAAGTAAAATTGGCCCTTTAGCACATCTGGACTTCATGAATGTTAGCAGTTTCCGAGAGGGATCGTCGATAGTTTATCATTCATAAGATGAATCAAACTAAAGAACTTAACCTAAGATACTAGTTATATTGTAATTTATTATTCTAAAAAGAAAACTATGAACAGAACCAATGTCAAGATATTTGATGACCATGGTGGACATGGCAGGTGGATTTTTGGAGTCCATATTGTCTGCTCTCATTTTCCCAATGAACTTAAGTGCTGTATTGTTGGTTAGGAATTTTTTAATAGCTATGGTAATTTACGACATTTAAACTGTTGTGCTCTCACAGTTCTTGGAGGATGAGGTGGAGAGGTTCGTGGTGGACTGCATGATGGTCTTGGGTGTCCCCCGGAGTAATGCCACCAGCCTTGCCCAGGTCCTGGTGGCTGCTGATGTACGAGGTCACTACAGCCATGGTCTCTACAGAGTAGGTAAGGTCACCAAGTCATTACACAGACTATTTAGGGTCACCAGTCACCACTTAGGGTAAGTGAGACCATTAGGGTATAACATAGGCTATTAAGGTCACCAGCTTATTACATAGGCTAGCTAAAGCCATTAATCTGGCTAGATCAGGTCAACAAGTCACTATGGCATGTGAGGTACTGTATTAAATAAATTTTTAAGTGTGCTGTACTCTCAACTACTGTACTATTGAAATATTTCCAAATTCCTTTACTAAATTTTATTTGATTCAGTCTTTTGCTATATACTGTATTAAATCCTTTAACGAATATACAGTATTAAATACAGTTATCTGAATGTAACAACAATACCTTATTACATACCTGATCACATGAGCAAATCTTGGTTCATCGCAAAATTTGAGTGCTATTGCCTTTACAAAATAACATTCAACCCTGTATCCATTTTCAACCATCTGTCTCACCATGCACTGTACAGTAAACCCCTTTCCTTTGTCTCTGACCCATTTATCACTATGTAGAGTACCTACAATTCTTTTAGATATGTATGTAAATGACCTTCGGAAAAATCTCTGTGACGGAGGTGCGGCACCCACAATAGTGAAGGAGAGTGTTTCCACTGCTTTTGTCGATGGCAACAATGGACTTGGGCCGGTTGTGGGGAACTTCTGCATGGACCTGGCCATCAAGAAAGCTAAAGCCACTGGCATTGGTTGGGTGTGTGCTAAAGGTAAAACTGACAAAACAGTACAGTATACAGTTAGTGCACTAGATATGCTCAGCCCAAAGCAATCCATGTAATGCAGTGGATAAATAAACATAAACTAAAATTCACCGATTAATACACCGTAGACACAAACAATACAACTCTGAGCCATTTGTTTGCTTGGTTGGATTTACTGGTATCCAATAAATGCTTGTCAATATTCCTTTGTGGTGGATGAATCTATTGACCCAAAACTTAAAACGGTAATTACTGGCCTGTATTTTGCATTTCTCTACAAGCTGGTATCCAATCATTGCCTAGGCTGTGAGTGAAATGTGCTGATGAATTATTCTCACACCCTTATACCTGGGACCTTACCACTGCACGAATGCAGGGGCCATTTATTAAATGAACACATCTTGCACCATTCAAAGTGCTGTACTGTAGTTGGGTGTTATTTTTATCAAAATTTTCATTATCAACTTGTACAGTCAGGGTCAAAAGTTTGCTCCCTCCCAAAATGAAGCAGCATCAATATGAAATGAGATACAACAGTTAGGAGATTGATTTCTGTGACTCAGTTTTACCATGGGGACCATACTTTTGTCTCCATCTGTACACACACACACACACACACACACACACACACACACACACACACACACACACACACATTCTCCCATTATTCATTATAATTCATTCATTCTCCTTGATGTAATAGGTATTGTAATATCCAGTGTTGCAGTGCCAATTTTAAGGTGCCGGAGCTTTCAAAATAATTTCCGTTTCCTAAACCGTATCTATTGATATATATATATATATATATATATATATATATATATATATATATATATATATATATATATATATATATATATATATATATATATACTGTACAGTGGTTCCTCGGTTAATGAACGCCTCGGTTAACGAATTACTTTCCATAACAATATTTAATTCAGTTAACGAACAAAAATTCGGTTAATGAAATTCTTACGAAAACATGTCAACATGTTTTCACTTGCTCACCAGCTGGTAGATTAGTCCGCCAATACAGTAATCGGTTCTAGGGCTTAAATTCGTTCCCATTTGAGTAAATATCAAGAAGGTTGTGCTATTAAATATTTTTCCAAGTTTTATATTAAAATTATTAGTCATTTTAACGCTTATTTAATATAATTGCAGTACAGGGAACTAGTTTTTTCTGCCCATCAGCCACTTTACTCACCCACCAAGGCGTCAGTTTGTGTGTCTGTTCAGTAAAGGTAACATCTTGCTTGTGGCTCTCTTGAACATAAACTAATTTTACGTTTTTACAGTACAATTATTGGTCATTCTGAAATTTATTTAACATATTGACAATATATAGTGCAGTGTTGATTTAAAGAAAATAATCTTGAATTACACCAAATGAACTTAAAAATTTATTGGTGAAATGACGACATCAATCATGGGATGATTTCTCTTCCATCCCCACTTCCTTCTCTTCTCCCTTCTCCTCCTCCACCTCCCACTTCAAATTCACATCAACATCATCAACCAGGAGCCTTCTACATACACACCTCAAAGTAAGTGTGCTTTACTACATTTTTTTTTTTACTTTGTATGTAATTTTCGGTGAGCTGGAATCAATTACCCAAAATCCCATTGAAACAATGGTTTCGGTTAATGAACGACCCTCTGGAACGAATTGAGTTCGTTAACCAAGGGACTCAAAAAGCCTGCAGCCACAGGAAACGCGATACTCTACATTTAGTCGCGAGCTGCTCGCCGCATACCTGGCTGTAAAGCACTTCCCCTGCTTCCTAGAGGGGCGCGATTTCTGCCTCTACACCGATCACAAGCCCCTTGTGTCGGCTGCCATGAACGCCTCGGGTCGGCACTCGCCACGGGAGCAACGGCACCTAGATTTCATCTTCCAGTTTATGGCTAACATTCGCCACATCAAGGGTGAAAGCAATAACGTCGCCAACGCCTTGTCGCGCGTTTTTGCGCTCTCGACTGACGACTCTGACACCTTCAAACTGGACTTCACACTGCTTGCTGATGCTCAACAATGCGACAGCGACATACAACAGCTACGGACCGCGGATACGGGGATCCAGCTTCATGACATTCCTTTCCTCAACAGCAAGACGTTGCTCTGTGATACATCGACCAACCGACTCCGTCCACTAGTTACCCTGGATATGCGCCGACAGTTGCTTCAGTCGCTGCACTCGCTGTCGCACTCTGGCATCCGTGCAATGCAGAGACTCGTCAAAGAGCACTACGTCTGGCCCTCCATCAACAGTGACATGCCAAGCTGGACGAAGGTTTGCACGGCCTGCCAAAGCTCTAAAATCCAACAGCACCCTATGTCACCTGTTGGTACGTTACTACCACCATCAGCTCGCTTTGATCACATCCACGTCGACATTGTTGGACCACTACCGCCCTCAGAAGGCTTCCGATACCTTCTAACAATTGTCAACCGCTTTACCCGTTGGCCGGAAGTGGTACCCATCACTGAGATCACCTCACAAGCAGTCGCCAAGGCCTTCTTCTCTGGTTGGGTTGCTCGCTTCTGGGTGCCCTCATCTGTAACGATCGATAGGGGCCGGCAATTCGAATCCGGGCTTTGGCATCAACTGATGAAACTGCTGGGCTCTTCCCACATCTGCACCACTGCTAACCACCCAGCAAGGAACAGGCAAGTTGAGCGGTTTCACCGCTCGTTCTCCTAGGCATCCGGTGAGCCCTTAAGACCGATTTGGGCTGTTCAGCGGCTGAGCTCGTCTACGGCTCTACTTTGTGCCTTCCCGGAGAATTTATAGCCTCCACATCTACTCCATCATCACAGACTGGTTCGTATGTGGAGACACTCCGTGGCTGTATCCGGTTCCTGCGTCTTACATCACCAAGGCTGAGCTCTCAGAAGCAGGTTTTCGTCGACAAGGTACTGGACGAGGCAACACGTGTTTTCGTACGTCGAATGGCACCTGGACTGCCACTGCAACGCCCCTACGACGGTCCCGTCAGGGTGCTCCTCCGGTCGTCTAATTTTTTTACAATCGACCGCCAAGAGGTTCGGCACACAGTCTCCATCGACAGACTGAAGCTGGCCCACATCGACGAGGATGCAGATATTCCCGGCCCCAGCATAAACAGGCCGACCAGCTCTGCCTCCGCAAGCGACGCAGAACCTGTGACTACGCCACCACTACCCTCATGTCTGCGGACGAGGTCCGGCCGTGTGGTACGGCCTTTGCTTCGGTTTTGACGCGTCACTTTCCTTACAGGTGATCGTCGGGAGGGGGTTGATGTAGCTACTGAAGAATAATATAATATAATGTAATTATGCAATGTAAAATAGTTAACAAATGCCAATAATTGTTGTAACTAGCCGTTCTGATAATGTAACTGTTGTTGAGTCGGCTGGCTGCCGTGGCTGAACTTGGTTCGAGACTTGAGCGAGACAGCTTCGTTCAGTCAGCCGGTATATATACTCGTGGGCGGCCTCGGAACAGCCACTCACTCTCATTCCGTGTTAGAGCACAGTTCTCCTAGCCACACCAATAAACTGGTAAACGTAGCTTGAGTTTTCCTGTGCCAAATCCTACAGGATTCTCAGATTTACGGCGATGAGATGAAAAGATGAATCCAGACATCGTGGATCCTCAAGTCGAGGGAGTGAATCACTGTGTGGCGTGAATGAGCGTGTGCACGAGTGCTGTCTTCTATTAGCGTGATTGATGTGTGCATGAGTGCTGTCACCTAGTGGTGTGAATGAAGTTGGATATCTGAGTAGTTTGATGACATAGCACGAGGTTTCGTGATCATGTGTATTACCCTGTGAGTCTCAGAGACAGATTGTTTCCTGCTGCACCACTGTACAGACCTCTCCCAGTAAACTGCGTCTGTGAAGACTGTGTTATCCTTGAGCCGTCAGGAACCAAGTAAATCTTTGACACATCTTATTTTTTATTCTTGTTATCTACAGCCAATGCGCCCAATGTTTTGCTGCTACCCAGCACATCAATTTGGCCATATTTTATGAACTCCTTCCTCATGTATCCGCGCCATGCTTCTCACTCATGATAATGATGGCTTAGTAGTTCATGTGTACATAAAAACCTCTCCATATTTTACAACCGGTAATGCTAAAGCACTTGTTTATGTGCTACCTTTACTAGTATTAAAAAAAAAATTAAAATTTTCCGGACATGTTCATCTGTTGACTACAATAATTTGCCACTTTTAATTTATTTGTTTTATTTTTAGATTCACTAAATAACACTCGAGTGAGAAATATTTATACAAATTTTTATTATAGGCAGCAACCACTTCGGCATTGCTGGCTGGTACACCATGACAGCTGCCAAGCAGGGACTGTTGGTAAGCTCTTTGATTTGGGGAGGAATAACTGGTGACTGTCAGACTAAAACTGGTGACTGATTTAGACTAGACAGTTAACTGTGATTAAGTAAAACTGATGACTGAAGTGGACTTGACAGATATCTGGCTTACCAAAGCTGGTGACTAATTTGGACTAAACAGGTGACTTAAGATTGCCTAGTTTGGATCTTGGGGTAGACAAAAACTTGAGGGAAGCACCAAACACAACGATTATTAGGGGTTGCTGTACTGAATTGATGACTTGAGATACTAGGCTGATTATTGAGACAACATTCCTGACTCAAGTCTGAAGGAATAACAAATAAATTGCTGGAGGTACCGTACCAAACTAATGATTAAGTACAGCATATCAAACAAATGCTGGGGTACCAAGCTGATGACTGTATGAAACTGTTGATTTGGAGTACTGTATTGGTGAATGGAAATAAAGTCAGGAAATAAAGTCACATGACTTGTAAACATTGACAACACAATATATATATATATATATATATATATATATATATATATATATATATATATATATATATATATATATATATATATATATATATATACTGTATATATATATACTGTATATGGGTTTTCATTTATGGTAATTAGGTTATAATATTTCTCTAAAGTACTGTAAGCTCAAATTAATATTTTAATCACATTTCAAGGCATTTTCTACTAAATCAGATTAGCAAGAGCCAATCACCTACAGTGAATCCTGGAAAAAAGTCAAGAAAAAAATCAGAAAAAGGCACGGAAAAAACCTAACCTACGTGCAATGCCATCATATATATATATATATATATATATATATATATATATATATATATATATATATATATATATATATATATATATATATATATATATATATATATATATATATATGTGTGTGTGTGTGTGTGTGTGTGTGTGTAACCGGTCGGAATCTACTGGACTTTAATTTCTCACTTGACTTGGGGTTTATTAATTATTAGATGGAAATTGCAGTGGAAGCGCCCCTTTGAGAAAAATCCCGAACCAGCACAAGAACACTTAAATTTACTAACAAAATGAATTCTCCGTGACCCGTGGAAGGATAGCGTCTGTGACTGGGATGAATGAGACACACTGTAAAAGTTAAACACTTATATTCCCTCCAACACTACAGACACAATCAAATAATGGTACACCAACATATGCGCACCTCTTAACCTGAACTTAAAACACTACTCTGGGGAATAAAAGTTATACATGATATTGCAATTATTAGAAACTCAGACAATGCCTCATTAGACAACAATAAATTTAAAGTATTAAGAAATATTGCTTGCACACATGAAACAGGCCTTAAGGGTTTTCACAAAATAATGTCCACCACTGCGGAAATGGCATAAAAATAAGAAATTATTAATTCCACCCTGAATTGGCCTAAAGGGCACTCAATAGAATTGTCACACCAACAGATGCACACTTCCTAACCTAACTTAAACACTACTCTGGGGAACAAAGGTTATATCTGAGATCGGAATTATAAAGAAAAATTAAATGCATTAAAGGAACTAAATCACAGTATCACTCTGGTTTCAATCAGTGACACAACATTTAAAAAAACAATACGATCAAAATTATTTAAGAAATATTAAACTACACACATCATACATCAGTAACTCAAAAAATGGTATTAGCTACACACAAAAATATTATCACTATTATTGAGATGTTACTGGGTCCACCAATACCCGTGAACCATGCTTCACCCAATTCAGCATACACCTGTAATAAGGGAGATAAAATGTTTCTCTAGGTATCCCCTAGACTCCTGGTCTCAGGGTGTGACCATTAATTTACTCAGATAGCCTCAGTGTACTCCCAGTACGTCCATGGGCAGGAAGAGAGAATGCCAGCAGGTGACTATGGCCAGTAGGTAATGCTTCTAGCTGACCGAGGACACGTGGTGTTGTGCACCCACGTGGTAAGAACTGATCACCCACTGCTGATGCTGGTCCCGTGTCGTTTTAGTTGTCGGGAGCACTCGTTCACTCAAGAGATCCTTTGCTACCCCACTAACCAGTGACAAGCCTACACTGATCGTTCCAACGGCGCCAATCGTCAATCATCAACGGCAGTCTCAAACGGCAGTCAATCTCTGGGTTCTGACGGAAACCCTGAAATTAACTCACTGTTAGCTCTTAACAACTTTATCACTGCCCTATCTAACCCCTATCTGAGATCGAATGAGACTTACTTGTTATACTGCAATAGCGCAACACAGGTGACTAGACCACGTGACTATTTCTGTGGACGGACGCGCAGGGACGTCCTGTTGGTCCGATCGCTTTCGCGTGATTGAGAACCAATCAGCCTCACGTCTCCCCAAGGCGTTAGCTTTGGACCTACATGACATATTTTCCGCCTAACAAATAACTTTCTTGGGACACCTGTAACATTATTCAGACTGGTAAATGGATCATAATTGAAATTATTTAATAATAGTAATAACTTCATATATATATATATATATATATCGGCAAACTATATTCAATATCGTATAGGTCTAGTTCCAAAAGCTGTCACTACGGGTAGGAGCACTCTCTTCCTCTAAGTCGTATCCTTAAAAAATTCAGTATCGCTACATACAATCACACCATTTGAAATTAGGACTCGATTTCCGTATATTGGGCAATATGAATATATATATATATATATATATATATATATATATATATATATATATATATATATATATATATATATGTGTGTGTGTGTGTGTGCAAGTAAATCACTGTAGGTGCGCGTGATCCAGGTATATGCTGATACCCACAAGGAAAGACGAAAACACGAAGTTGTCGTGTAATTCACATCTGAAGGGGTGAGTACAGACTCACCCCTGAAGATAAAAATTACACGAAAGCACTTGGGAACTTCGTGTTTTCTTCTTTCCTTGTGGTTTTCGGCATATATATATATATATATATATATATATATATATATATATATATATATATATATATATATATATATATATATATATATATGATGGCATTGCACGTAGGTTAGGTTAGGTTTTTTCCGTGCCTTTTTTCTGATTTTTTTCTTGTGACTTTTTTCCAGGATTCACTGTACTGTACCAATAGGTGATTGGCTCTTGCTAACCTGATTTAGTAGAAAATGCCTTGAAATGTGATTAAAATATTAATTTGAGCTTACAGTACTTTTGATAAATATTATAACCTAATTACCGTAAATGAAAACCCATACATCATGCATGGGTTGAAAAGTAAATTCTGTACTCTCAGGAGTGGACAGTCAGTCAAGTCTTGTAAGCTTACCTGTTATGACAGTTATAAAATATACAATTTAGTGAAAGTATTACTAATTCTGAAGCAGAAAAATATTGCCACACAACTTTTTATAGTGGTACTGTATGTATATAGTCTTGGTTGAGGATTTATGGTGTCAATAATTCCTTTGTACTGCAGGTATATTAAATTCTGTTCCTTTTACTGGTTGGGTTGAAAAAGGAAGTCTTTCCTTTTGTGTATCAAATCAAATTTGGGATGTCTTCATATACTGTACTTTGAAACTAAAATACATGTCATCTTGTTTGTTCCTCAGGGTATGAGTTTCACAAACACTTCCTCACTGGTGGTTCCAACACGTGGCAAAGAGGTATGTTGAGCTCCTGGTACATTATATTGTGTTGAATAAGTGTAGATAAACTTGAAGAAATAGACTTTATTTATATTAGACATGGAATAGAGTCTTTAAAATGAATGAATTGTACAGTACAGAATATACAGCCATCTCAATAACATTATCTGAAAATAATTGTTAAAACTTTTTCTGGCTTCACCTGTGCATTCTGGTTCATAAATCTATGCATACCATATTGAGTCTATAACCAGATTTATACTGTATTGTTAATCCAAAATGTCTTTGCCTGATGATGCCCGATTTCACTGTTATGGGATTAATATTCTTCTAGGGTGTTATGGGAACCAACCCATTATCTCTGGCTGCTCCAGCCAAAGGTGATGATAGTTTTGTGCTTGATATGGCAACCAGTGTGGTGGCACTTGGCAAGGTGAGAAACTGTTAATGTATCTGTCAGTCCGTATCTCTTACACCAACTACCACAGTCTATAGATTTTTTTTATTGAATTTTATACTTTGCCAGAAGGTTAACATATCAGGGACTAGTTCAATATATGTTACTTTGGTAGCTACAGTAAAGTAAAATATGTACATATAATTATCTATCCAGAGTAGGATGTTTTTTATGTTCTTTGAATATTTTCGGGTAAACATGTGTACTTTTTTCATTTATTTTTCCTCAGTTACATGTACACACCATCCTACATACATATTGAGAAAAAAGTAAAATAAATAATTGTCCTAAGGGCAAACACGTAAAGGGAATATACATTTCTTTGCACTCGAGTTATTGAAGAAACGAGAGGATGGTGCAGAGTGAAGAAAGTGGGGAGCGTTGCTAGGGAATCGCCATGCCAGCTGGTCTCCATTGCTATGATGAAGCATGATGAAGCAGAGAGTGTATGCAAATGTTTATGTGTTAAAACACCAACATCACACACACATTACTCCCTACTCACGCACTTCGTCTCTGTAACACAATTAGAAAAGGAAGTGGTGGCACGACCCTTGTGGGGGGCGGGGAGGGGGAGGACTGACCACATGGTCAGTTTTTGCCTTCCCCCAGAAGGGTCGTGTCCCTCCCTCCCTACCCATTGCGTCTCACCGTCTCTCGTTCTTCTATGACTGTAATTCATATTCTGTACAATATTGTACAGTACATTATTTGTTTGTCATTTATTAATTAGGAAAGATAAGTTCCTGTAATAATCTGTGGTTATTAATATGTGTACCCTTCACTTGCATCATCAGGAACATATCTCCTTATATGCAATGATATAATGACAGTTCATTAAACAAAATTAATTATATTTTACAACCTTATTTATTATTAATATATATATATATATATATATATATATATATATATATATATATATATATATATATATATATATATATATATATATATATATATATATATATATCAATTGAGTATAACGATCATCCAGCTATGATACAATGATATGAGTTATTAAGGATGTCACCTAGGATGGTGAGTTCTGAGGTGACTAAAGAGATCGATGCGGGATCTGTAGGGTCGATCATAGATGTTGTACATGTGGGGGGCTATATCTAGTGCAGGAGGGACGGCGGCAGTGTCTTTCCGGCGTTGGCGCTTGTCTGCAATGTTATGCAGTCAGGCTAACTCAAAAGTATTGACACCTTCCTGTGTGGTGCTCCTCCAAGCGTTACGGTGAGGAGTAATCGTCTCCCGGGTGAGGGGGTCGATTTGGAACTTTTTCAGGTTTGTCCTTAAACTTTACAGTTGCCCACCAGCGTTGCGTTTACTATTCGTTAGGTGACTGTAAAGTAGTTTCTTCGGCAGTCTACTGTCGTCCATGCGGGTAACATAGCCAGTCCAGCGTAGTTGTTCACGAATAATGCTAGCCTTGGCGCTTCTACAGTTGATGCCAGCAAGAATACTGGCACTTGTTCTCTTGTCTTCCCTGTGAACTCGGAGGATGTAACGTAGACTACGTCGGTGAAAGTTTTCAAGTGCCTTGAGATGCCTCCTGTATGTGACCCATTTCTCGCTGCCATATAGCAGGGTGGGTAGCACCACTTTGTAGATAATTTCAGCTCCCTTCAGCTAAAGACATGGGTACGGAGTCTGTCAAAGACTTGAGATGCACACCTAATCCGATGTTGAATCACTTCATCAATATCAACAGTGATGGACAGATGGGAGCCGAGATACCGAAAGTGGGGAACATTAGAGAGGGTAGTACTGTTAAGCTGGATGGATGGTGGAAGTGTGGCTGAACCAGGGGCAGATTGAAAGAGAGTCTGAGTCTTACTTGCATTCACCTCAAGGCCAAAGTGTGTATCCGCATCTGCTTAGCTTTTCAGGTTTTTCTGTAGGCTGTGTTGAGTGGGAGTGACAAGGGTGAGGTCGTTTGCATGCTGAAGTTCAGTAATGGAAGCTGCCGACACCTTTGTTCCTGCCTGGAATCATCTTATTTTGAAAAGACCCTCCCTTCATCTGATACTCGATGTCCACCCCGCCAGCTATATTGGCATTGACACGAATAAAGAAGGCAGCCAAGAAAATGGAAAAGAGAATTGGTGCCAGTACACACCTTTGTCTTATCCCCGTTTGCATGGGGAAGAACTCAGATTGGGTGCCGTTGTGCAGGACACTGCCTTTCATGCCATCGTGGAGTAGCCTCACGATGGCTATGAATTTTGTTGGTTCACCAGAGGACTTTCCTATTAAACGAGTCTAGGCCTTGCTTTTGTCGATGAAGGCCATGTACAGGTCACGATGCTGTTCTCTGCTCTTTTCCTGTATCTGGTGGGCAGCAAAGATCATGTCCGTGATGGTTTAAAACCACATTGAAATTCTGGGAGGAAGTTTTCTGTCTCAGGAAGAAATCTGTTTTAGAGGACTCGGGCGATAATTTTTCCATCTGCAGACAGCAGCGAGTTCCTGCGGTAGTTGCTGCAGTGTGACGGTCTCCCTTGTTTTTATAAATATTGCCGATGGAAACGTCTTTAAGGGCTTGGGGATTTCCTTCTTTTCCCATACATTCTCCAGGAGAGAGTGGAGACGGCTAGTAAGCAAAGGTCCTCCTGCTTTATGCACCTCGGATGGGATTCCCACAAGCTTTGTTATTTTTCATCTATTTGGAGGCAGTAGCTACCTCGTCCAGGGATGGAGGATAGCTGAGATGGATAGTCAGAACATCCACATAGGTGTTTCGGTTGAGCAGCAAATGGTAGTGCTCTTTCCAGCCCTGACGGATGCCTTCTTCGTCTTTAATTAGGGAGTTGCCGTCGGATGAGCGGAGGGGGGGCTGTGCCGAGAGTGATTGGCCCTTAAGCTGTTTTGGTCACACCGTGGGGCCGTTTTGGTCACAGGGTGGGTCTGTTTTGGTTAGAGTGGGGCCGTTTTGTCTTGAAACCGTAACTTGTAGTGGATACTCTCCCCTACAACTGCCGATTTGTCGCTTACCAGCCAACCCTCGGCGAGTTCCTCAGACCAAGCCTCGCTTTTGGACTGCGCTGTGATTGGCCAGTTATCACCTTTCACCCCAACCAATCAGCAGCGCTGCTCACTTCCTGTAGAAGCGTATAAATACCCCCAGCCTCGCCGTGAAGGTGATTCGACTCGCCAGCCAGCCTTCGCTGTGAATGGACGTCTCTCTAGACCCCCTCACTGCCAAGCCAGCCAGCCTATCTCTTACCGTTGACTAACTGAACTTAAACGACCACCTCACTAACCATCACTTTGACACATGGGAAGCTTGTTCCAGACAACGCCCTTTCTGTGCCTCCCCACTGATAAGGGGTGACTCCTGATCAGAGGCGGCCCTGATTGGGTGCTGTGCAACCGCTTCTTGCAGCGGACTTGGGCCGCGATCCCACCGGTGTTACTTATACCAGTGGCTATTCTTCCTCTTTTCTTCCTTCTTTTTCGCTCTGGCCTGGGGACCTGCACCCTAAGGTGTATTCGTCCTTGGGTCCCCCCTGTAACTGTTCACCTCCCTCCCAGGAGTTTGTGAACAAGAAAGGGGGTAGGAGCAGAACCCATCCCTCCGCCGAGCCTTCCTGGGTAACCGTGATCGTGCTGGTCCACCTGGGAAGGGGGTCGCACTCCCTAATCCTCCACCCCCCCCCCCCGGAATAGGTATTCTATAAAGCTCACGCCTATAAGTGAGCAAATAAAAACACTAGGAAGTAGGCTCCCCTAACGGGGCTTCTGGGAGACAGACATTGGAACCACCCCACGACCACTCAACCATCAAGAGGCGGTTGGGGGTGTTGAAATTCCTTTGTCAGGGTACTCTCCCGGAATAGGTAGGATACAAGCTTCGCCCCACGTAACGGTGGTCTTAACCCCACTGGACGGATGGAAAAATGACGACCCAACCATGACAAAGACAACGAGTAACAGATTTCGGGTGCGCTCCCTCTATGGGGGCGAATCCGAAAAACGCAAAGAAGAGCTAGGCACTATCTTATGTGCCCACCTCAACATCAAATTCGTGCCCCTCATCGAAGCAAGAGACTCATACATAGTTCTCTGCTTAGAAGAAAAAGATGTCGACCTTATGCTTGCCTCAGAGGCAGTCAATAAACTGAAGAGGGAGAACTTTGAAATAGTTGTACCACCCCAAGTAAGAGTGAGGAAATCCATTGTAATGAAGAGGGTGGACAAGTTCATTATGCAGAAAACACCAAGCGACATCGTAAACGAAAGAGAAGAGAAAAACACCTGGGCAAAAGGCGTTCTCTTACATATGAATGGAATTGTTCTCGTCCAAGCTTGACAACATTTTGCACACTCTTCACGGCTTCTGGACAAAAGATTTCCTTTGTATGAAGAACCATTAGGTCAGCATCTTCTTCAAATGGGTTTCCCATTTCTTCCATGACAAGTGGAAGTGCTTTCACATCCTGAAGAAACTTGTCCTGCATCGTGTTGGTTTGCTCATGATGGTGGAAGTTAGCCTTGGTTTGCTCAGCTTTCTAGGACATTTCCCCGAATTCCGTACCCTTCCAGTTTGATTTTCAGCCTTTCGTGGGGTACACTGTCAAAAGCCTTGGCAAAATCTAGGTAAATATTGTCGATATTACCACCCCCTTCCAGAATATGGGTCCAAATATCCAATACCTTGAGCAATTGTGTTAAGCAAGAGCGCCCCGGCATAAAACCGTGTTGGCAATCCTTTACAAGGTTGTTTTGTAGTAGATGTTTCATTGCGGCATCTCTGATAATACTCTCAAGTACTTTACTTTACATATTATGCTGGTCAGGCTCATCTGTCTATAGTTGTTAGTGGAGTGACGATCGCCCTTCTTGAAGAT